GGAGGGAGGGCGAGAAAGGGCGAGGGAAAGGGGGCCTGAAGCCAATTTTTTTCCAATGAACAGCAAAATTTATAAAATACTCCAAATACTGTCGAACAGTTTGAATGATGAGTTTGAAATTGTCTAAACCTGACTCTCTTAAGGTTGAAATTTTCGTCATTATGTATTTGACCAGGAGATCTCTTGATCTGACGCAACAACCATGAGCTCTTCAGCAAGCACAAAACATTTAAAATTTGGTAAACAAGGTCCAGGAATTGTGATATTTACCTTTAGAGAAGACTGGTCAGAGTGGTTCTCCTAATTTCAAATCGGCCTTGGGCTGTGCGCTCGTCCGCTTTTTATATTACTCGCCCGATTATTTCCTGAATTCAATTACTACTGCTATAACAAAATTCTCGATCATGATTATTTCTCCGCGCGCTTATTTATAATGGTAATAGGACTGAGTGGAGTCCAATTCGGTCTGTAATCATACTCGTGATTAACGAAATCGGACGACCCCAAAGCGGGAGTCCGATTTGTTAATCACGAGTATGATTACAGACTGAATTGGACGACACGATGTCCTGTTACCAATTAATCATAACAATTACAATTTTCCACAAAAGTAAAAGTTTCATTTAAAAAAGAGCTTTTAATAGTCATTTTTAAATATCATAATTATAAAATATGGAGAACAGCTTGCAAAATGGCTGTCAAATCTCTTTCAAAACAGTCATCAGAGACTAAACCTCCACAGTTTTACAAACTCAATCTCTTGAACTGGTTACTATAGTGATTGTAATCAGTGTTGTGATTGGCAAATTTAGTAGAGAGGACTTAAAATGATTGGCTCATGTAACTGTTCGATTACAGGTGTCCGATTACAACTTTGCAGATTAATTAGAGCAAAATACAGCAGTTTATGCACCAATCACATTTGAGGAAATTGCAATTGTTATGATTAGTCATGGCGTGGGTATCCAATAACAGGTATCCAATTACAAAAAATTGTAATTGGATAACAATTTGTAATTGATAACAATTTGTAATTAGAACTCCCAGTAGATAAAAAGTATGCCATTTTCAGAGCTCACGGTCTCGTTCAAACAAATACAATGTTACGCGGTTATGAAACAGTCATTTGTCACTATTTAACTTTGTTGATCCAAACAAGGCTCATTTTAAGGTGGCTCAAAACAGTTTCCAGCACTTATATCTGGATGGGTCGTTATAACCACTCTTAATCACTTGATGCTACAATCATGGTATCAAAAAACTGCCTAAGCATTGGTGAACACGTTGTCATCATTTTCATGACACAACAGGTTACCATAGCAACATTATGACCTCCTAAAAACACCCTTAATTACAGCTTTAGGGGCTTATAATTCAAAAACGGCACGCTGAAATTTTTTATGTTATCAACTTTTCATAAGCATGATAAGACGCAACTTTTGGCAAAGTTTAAGAAAATTCTGTACATGGGGTTCAGAGCCACCTTAAATTTTCGAAAATTTAAGGTGGCTGTGAACCCCATGTACAGAATTTTTTTAAACTTTGCCAAAAGTTGTGTCTTATCATATCAATCAATCTTTTTGCACGCTCCTTAGGCGAAGGTGGAGACTTAACTTTGTTCATGACAGGAAAGAAACCACGTCCTGACACGGAACCTATGTACAGTGGAGGAAACAGGAACAACTTTCCGATTACGACTGGATATGACTCAGTTGAGTACAAAGATTTGATTGGCAGCCATATTCAAAATTCTGAAAACATCGTGATCTGCCAAAGTTTCCACAATGGATACTTTGGTGGATGTTTTGCACCTTCAGAGACGTACCGTCCCAGGCCCGGCGTTTCCTGGGCGATTCTTTATGACTATGACACCTTCCTTGAAGAGGTTGACAGAAATTGGAAATTGTCAAAACAGATTTATACTATCGCATTTGATGAGATAGCATTCGGGGTATTTTTTATGAAAAATTATGGCACGGCTCAAACAATTGTAACGAATTTATGTGATATGGAGAAGAAATGGAAAGATGGTTTTAAGATCACTGCATGTGCCACCCGGGGTTCAACCGTTTCTATTGTTATGACAAGGGAAACGGAGGAATACCATGGCAAAACTCAGATATGGTTTACTCGTACTTCATGGCAAGACGTTGAAAACAGAATAGAGAAGAAGTATAAAGAGGGGAAGGCTGTAACGGGAATATGTTACTCCACTGGACAGAGGAGGTATTTTGTAGTCATGACTGAGACACAAAAAAAACAAAAGTACGCTTGGTTTGAACGTTCTGAAGCAAAAAACAGATACGACTGGATGGATGCGCAACATAAAGAGGGATTTCATCCTACGATTATCTTTAAAGACGTGACTGATAACCAAACCTTAGTCGTGATGACTAAGGATGAAAACAGATCGGTTTATTCAAGTCGATTTGATTATAAGGTGGCAGACTTGCTTCGGCCTTACTAGTCGGGCGCTGGTCATTAGACAAACAATGGCTGGTTTTCAGTGTCACGCAATTCAAAATAGATCAAAATAAAAATCAAAACCGGTCAATAGATAAAGTCCAGAATCTGGGAAATGAAAGAAGGT